GGCCCGGGCCCTGCTCAGCGCGCAAACACCTTTCCTCTGGGGAGGCAGCAGGGCCGGCGACCCGGGCTAAGGAGCGCCAGGGCCGCCCGGAGATCGAAGAGGGCGGGGTGGAGGAGCAGGGGAAGGAGGCAGAGGCAGGTAACTAGGTGGGTGGGTGGGGACGGCAGCGGGGCGGGCTGGTGGAGGTGGCAGCGGCTCCCCTCTCAGGGTTTCTTTTGTTTCATGGCCTTAACCAGCCCCCGGCGCGCGCGGCGGCGGAGGCGACGCCCCACGCCGCTCTCCGAATGAAGCCGGCGCGCTCTGATTGGGCGCTTTTAATCTCTGGGAGCCCGCCCTCTTCTCCCCTCAGCCTTCTAAGTCCTTTCCCGAGCACCCCCCACCCTCTTTTTTTGAGCCCCGCCCCGCTCCGCCCCAGAGCTCTCTGATTGGGTGACCGGAACGAGCTAGTCCCCGCTGCCTGCTCCTTTCGTCCTTTTCCCTCCCCCCTCCCCTCCCTCCCCTTCCCCTACTGGCTCACGAGGAGAGGGACTGTGATTGTTCGCTTTACACGTCACTCTTTGTGACGTACCACAGCGGGGCGGGAGAAAAGGGGGCGGGACGAAGCGCAGCGGCAGAGGCTGAAACTAGTGACCGAGTAGGGGTTTTTGCGCAGGCGCGTACAGTTGAAGCGCACACCTGGGTTTCTTCCTTTCCCCGCATCCCTCTTGCCACCTGGGTCGGGTCTTTTAGCGCAGTGTGGGAGCGGCCTTGGAGTGGAGCATAGATGGGGCCGGAGGGCGTTGTTTCCCCTGGTTGAGGAGATTTCCCTCTTTCAGGGTAAGGGCCTAAGGGGAGTCGAAGGAGGGGCCAGTGAGGTGTCCTGCTATCCAGCTGCGGGGGTGGTTTCCTGAGTCGCGTGGCTCCTGGGCCTTCCCTGCGGAACCCGGGAATGCTCCTCCTTTGGGGCAGGGCCCTCCCACGTCCAACTGGCCGGGCTTCCAATGCAAGCCTGGTTGATTTTACATCAAGAGCCTTAAACGCTGAACTTCAGTTCTTTAGACGTTTCAAGGAAATTCAGTCTTTTCCTCCAAGACGCTCTTGCCTAGGTGCACACAGTAGTTACCTTTCTTAGGGGTTTATTTTTAAATCGCTTATTCCTCCATCTTAGACTATCTCACCCCCGCCGCCCCCGCCGGTGGTAGGTTATAGCAGGTAATCTTCCCATGTTAGTGCTCACCACTAGCATTGTCCTATAGAGATATAATGCGACCAACAGTGTAATTTTAAGGTTTCTAGTGACCTCATTAAAAAAAAAACAGTTTTAAGTAGTGCAATAATTCAAAATATTTTAACATACGATCGATATAAAATTATTGATGTCTTACAGTTTTTACAGCTGTCTTTGAAAATTGTATTTTACACTTACACTCACAGCATATCTCAATTCAGTTCGCTTCACATTAGCCATGTATCAGGTACTATAACTACTATCAGCTTTGAGACTTGATTTTTGAGTCGTAACTTGGGATTCTTTCTACATAGGATTTATTGTATCTTGCTGCTTCACACTTGTTTTTTATGAGTGAACTTTAATTGAACACCAATTTCTAAATTGTCTAGAATGTTACAAAGCCAGTAGTCCAAGAGAAGGCTGAAGTATGTCTTCTGTTTTTTTGTGCCTTTGGACCATGTGCCCAATTCTACAACTTGTTCTACTCCAATCAAATGCCTAGAGAATTGTAATGAACACAAAAACCTTTCTTGTTACTAGGATTCCCTCGTATAGCCCTGTATGTTGCTTCTTTAACAACTCCTTTATAGCAGTAGCCTCTGAAGCAGTGATTTCAACCTTGACTGTATATCAGAATGAAGAACTTAAAAAAAAAAAAAAAATACAGAGCCAGGGAGAGGCAAAAAAAACAAAAAACAAAAAACAAAAAAAAAACAGAGCCAGGGAGAGGCAGACTTTGGATACTTGGATTTAGTAGATCTGGAGTGGGGACCTAGACAAGTTTTTAAAAAGCCAGACTTGAGAACACTGACCTAGGGTTTGAGTTTGGGGTTTACAGAAGGAATCTTGCTATTAATTCTACCAAAAAGTGATCTTTTTCTCTTCTACCTTCCCAATTAGGCACAATTTTCACTGATTTACTACAACTACACTTTTTTTGTGATATCTCCGCCCCAAGGACATTTCACAGCGTCTTATAAAGGTACTGAATCTTTTGAAATGTACCAGCGAGTAGCTTATATAATTAGACATTTACTTATAGAATATACAGATATGCTTGCTGTCTTATATTTCTAAATTGTCTAGGATGTTTAAACAATAATCATTATTTGAAGGGTAGCCCTTCTAGCAAAACAAATCTCAAGGAAGAAAGTAAAATAAAAGGTGCAGTGGCCACTCCCAGGATACATTGGTCATTGGGAGGAAATGGTTAGTAGGATTTCAAATGAAACTCTCAGAAGTTCCTTTTTTTCGTCTCTTTTCATGAGCATTGTCATTTAATGCTCATCCCTTGGTCTTAAGTTTTCTTTGCAAGGGCCCACAGCAAAAGCTATAGTGGGAATGATAGTTCATAGACATTTTTCTTTTGAGGGGGGGAGATGTAAAAAAATAGATTTATATAGATAAGATCCATTCAGCTAAGATTTTTTAAAATGCTAAATGGCTTAATTTAGGTGTTCGTAATATAAAAATTGCTTTCCGCTTCATTCTCACATAATAAATGAGTTTTCATACGTTCCCATACATAAATGTATACATTCATGCATTAATTTATATTTGATCAATATTGTGATTTATGAACAAGACCGGAGATAATGATGTTCATGCAGCTTCCCCTTTGGGTCTGTATTTATTGTCTTGTATTAAATCTTGTTTATGAAGTAAATTTAAGATTTGCATTTGCTCTAAATATATGACTGGAATTCTTTCATTTAAATTCATTAAACAAACCTAATCCTTTCTAGCCTCCCCCAGCCACATAACACATTAATTTGCACTTGAATAGAGTGTCTCTTTTATTCCTACACTGCTGTTTATGACATAAGTTGATATACTGGGGCAAAAGAGTTGCTTTAAGGATTTTAGGACAAAAAAAACTATAAATTGGCTAGATTTTATCAAGTAACGGGGCTGACTGCTGAACTAGCTTTTTAAATTAGATTATAATGATATAAAGGTTGGAACAATTGCAAACTAAACAAAGTTTAACAAATATGTTTGTCCTAGGAAGAAAACTGAGATAATTAAGAATAATTTTGAAGCAAACCCTTAAAGACTGCCACAAAAATGTGGTGAAAGATTCTACTGACACCTTCACCTAGAACCCCAAACTAAACATCTGCTTTGTTTCAAGGCAGGATGAGTTTCTTTAGGATAGGCTGTCCCCAGGAATCAACAGTCCCCAGCTCCAAGATAAGTTTTCCTAGGGCATGAACGTGCCATGCTCCTACTTGAAATTAGGAAAATGGCATGTTCTAATTGCCTAAGAACGAAGTCTCCTACCGAGTATTCCAGGCTTTCCACACTCTGGAATCATTCTTCCAAGTGCTCAAAATTGTTACATAAACATGCTTAAATCTCTTAAAATAAACAGAAACTCTTCTTCGATGGCACATCTCCCTCCCCTCACCACTCTTAATTCTCTACTCCAAATCATCTGCTTCAAGAGCCGTCTGCTGTTCTTTACCACTGCAGTGCTTTTTGTGCTACTTCACTAGAATTATCTTCATCTTGCCACTGAATCCAATGAGCATTTTTTACCCTTATCAATCACGGCACCACTGCTCCTTAAAACGCTCTCTTTGCTTTCCCTCTGCTTTTCTTCCTACTTGCATGACCTTGCCTCAGACTCCTTTGCAGGCTGTGTGTCTATTACTCTTTGGGGATTTATCAAGGCTGCTTTCTGTTTATTCCATACTCTCCACCTAAAAATCTTATTCGTTCCCAAGATTTCTGCTACTTTGTTGACAATTTCCAGATCTATATTGTCATTCCTGACCTCTCCATTGAGTTCCAGACCCATAAATCCCATTGTTTTATGGATGTCTCCACTTGGCAATTCAAATTCAACCTCAATTTGAGCTCAGCTTCCCAAACTGAAATTTCAGTTAAAATCAGCTTTTTGGCTCAGTATTGGACAGTGCCACTCTCTTCTCAATTCCTTTGACCAAAAGTCTGATAGACGCTCTTGTCTTCTCTAACCTACGTAGCCTGTAAAGACCAAATCCAGTGGGTCACATCTTCTAACTCTCAAATCTATCTATCTTTCTGCATCTTTACCACCATTACCATAGTCTGGGCCACATTATTCAGACCATGAACTATTACAGTCGTCCACCAAACAATTCCTGTCCTCCAATTCATTTTCCATTTTGCATTTCAAATGATTGTAATTCGAATTTACTCCTTCTACTTCCCTGCTTGAAACTCTTTTTGTTGTCCTTAGGATAAAGTCCCAATTTCTTAACATAAAATCTTCAATATCTGGACCTTGTCTACCTGTTTAGCCTCATTTCATGCCATTCTTCCTCTTGCCCTCTTGGCCTCTGCCGTAGAAGCCTCCAAGAAGCCATTCATATATTCTTCATACTCTTATGCCTCCAGGCCTGGAAAATGACTCTCCCTGCCCGCTCTTAGGTTAGCTAATTTCCATTTGTCCTTTGGGACTCAGTTTATACATCACTTTCTGTGGGATGTTGTCCCTAACTCTCTAGGTAAGATTAGGTGTCTTTGTAGTAGGTTTCCATTGCACCCTACATGTCCCTAGAAACACTTTTCATACCTTATTGTTTAATTATACCTCTTTCTCTGTTTTCATCCTTATAAAGCCAGTGCCTGCTATAGTCCCTGGCAAGTAGGAGGGGCCAGTGTGTACTTGTTGACTGACTAAATAGATATTCTTCCAAATAAACTCAATTCTTCAGCTAGTCTAAGCTTTTGGCCATTTTTCAAACACAAGCTTGTAATCTCCCAAGATTACAAAAGTTTGTAATCTTTGGGCCTCTGTTTTTTTTTTTTTGGCTAGATTGTCCTCACCTTCTACCCCCACCCTGCCCACCTCTACCAATTTTACAGTTTCTGTTTACATTTGACTTCTTCCAATATACTTCTTTTCTAATCAATACAATCAGGGCTAGTCCTTTTTTCCTAACCCTTTGGAAAATGCACATGAAGGCAACATTTTGCGTATATCTTCTGAATGCTTAATTAACCTCATAAAGTCTATCCATGGCTCCCTTTGGGTTCCATAGACCTGTGATACAGATAGGCTAGATGTTCACTAACTCATTTCCTTTTCTTCTTGAGTACACAGCTAGACTGCATTTCCCGGCATCCATTGCAATTGGGAGTAGCTATAAGACTGAATTTCACCAAGTGCACACCAGTTCCAGACCCTTAAAAATCCCTTACACATCGTCTTCCACGTTCCTTTCCCATCTGTGGTGTAGATGAACATGATGTTAAAGATGGCAGAGCCATAAGAAGAAAAGAACCTGAATCACCACATGGAGGAGAGGTGCCCTCCAATCAGATATACCTATTTTAGACTTTATATGAGAGAAAAAATATTTTATCAAATTTGAAGTTTTATATATTTTTGTGTATGTTTATTACAGCAGTTAACCCTTAACTAATGTAAATTGCTTGGTTAAAAATCTCTGGTTTGAAAAGAAACAGTAAAATGATCAGCGGTTCCCAGGGATTAAGGGTAAGGGAGGGATAAATAGGTGGTACACAGGGGATTTTTAGGGCACTGAAACTGTTCTGTATATAACTATAATGGTGGATACATGTCATACTTATTTGTCAAGGCTCATAAAGTATTGAGTACCAAGAGTGAACCCTACTGTAAACTATAGACTTTAGGTGATAATGATATGTCAACATAGGCTCATAGACTATGACAAATGTACCACTCTGTTGCAGGTTGTTGGTAGTGAGTAAGGCTATGCCAGTGTGGAGTCAGGGCGTGTAAGGGAGCTCTCTGTACTTTCTGCTCACTTTTGCTGTGAACCTAAAACTGATTTTGGGAAAACTACTTTAAAAAACCCCAAAAAACTGTTTTACACATTTATAATATTTAGATTGAACTGCTATATGATCTGATTACACATTGCCTGGGACTATCCCACTTTGTAGCATGGAGCCTGATATTTATTTACAGGAGGATCAATACACCAAGATGACTCAGCAATCCTAAATGTGTATGCACCCAACAACAGGACTTCAAAATGTATGGAAAACAAATGAACAAACATGAACAAAAAATATGATACAGCTTGTAGAAGAAATAGACAAATCCACAAATATAGTTGGGGCCTCCGATACCCCTTGCTCAGCAATCGATAGAACTGTTAGAAAATCAGCAAAAATATAGAACTGAATATACTATCAGCCAACAGGATCTAATTGATATTTATAGATTGCAACATACAACAGCAGAATACACATTCTTTTCAAGTGGCCATGGAACATATCCTGGACTTTAAAACAAATTTCAACAAATTTAGAAGAATTGAAATCATATACTGTATGCTCTCTGACCATAATATAATCAAACTAGAAATCAATAACAGAAAGGGAACAAGAAAATCTCTAAATACCTGGAAATTATACAATGCAATTCTAAATAATTTATAGGTCAATGAAGAAGTCTCAGGGGAAATAAAAAAAAACACATCAAACTGAATGAAAATAAAAATAGAACATCAAAATTTGTAGGATATGGCCAAAGCAGAACTCAGAGAGTAGTTTATATCACAAAATGCTTATTTGGAAAAGAAGAAAGGTCTTAAATCAATAATTTAAGTTCCTATCTTAAAAAAAGAAAACGAAGAGCAAAATAAATCCAAAACAAGCAGAAAAAGGAACAAATGAATAGCAGAAATAAATGATAATGAAAATAGGAAAACAGTAGAGAAAATCAGTGCAAGAGACTGATTCTTCAAAAAGAATCAATAAAATTGATAAACCTTTAGCAAGACTGACAGACTAAGACAGAAGACACAAATCACCAATATCAGCAATAGCAATGAAATGGACTAGCACTACAGATCCTTCAGCTATTAAAGTATAAAAGGAGAATACTATAAACATCTTAATGTTCATAAATTTGACAGCATGGAAGAAATGGACCGATTCCTCAAAAACTACAAACTACCAAAGTTCAAGCAATATGAAATAGACAATTCGAATAGTCCT